AATTTTCCAAACCACAAAGAAAAAGCTATTTTAGGTGGGAGTCATGAGCGAAGACAGTAGGGAAATTGTTTCATAATCGCGCATTTACTGTAAAACATATGCAACAGCTTAATGATCAAGTCTATACACAGATATGGCATGTTCACGCTGATTTACAGCCAATTGCCAATCATCATCCTGGGACATAAAACTAGCAACTCCCTGAAGACACATTTTTTTGTTATGTTGGCAACTCTACTGTAGTATTACCATTTGCAACTGAGCTATAATGGTTTATACTGATTAACACTACATATGTGAACATTTTATAATATGGTAAAATTTTCACTGAACTGAACATTGAACTATTTGGTGTTTGTGTGTCTCATTTATGTACTGTACAGTGTACTGTTGTCAGAAACTAGGCTTTGCTATGGTACAGTGGGCCTCAGCAGGCAAAGAGAGACACAGAGCGTTGAAACAGACCAGGAAAGAGGCCAAAGAAAGTGATGGAGTGACAGATTAGTAGAGAGAGACTGAAAAATAAGCGAGTGGCACTGAGCTGCATAGAGCCACAAAGGGCCACAGGTAGACCCATAATGGCAGCACATACATCAGCTTGACACATTCACTGTTCCAGCTAACACATGCATGCACATGAATACATGCTTTCAGGGAGTTAAATGAGAATTACAACTATAGGTTCTCTGCATCCAAGAATATGTGGGTATTTCTCAACTAGCAGACCCAAAATCCCTATACTCAAAAATGATAACTTCCCTAATCACCTGATAGTGTATAATTACTATAACTGAACCTTAATGGAAGCTCTGGAGATTTCCACCAATTCTTATATCAACAAAGTCATTAGCTAGGTCTAGTTTCTCACTGTTCAGTATGCAGCCTATTTGTCTATCTATCTAGCTAACAATCTAGCCTGTAGACACACTCACACACAGGGAGTCACTAGGGTGTACAGGCTCTCCAGATGGGTAGGACGTCCTTCTCTCCACTGATCACTGCCCACGGCTGTTCTCCCTCTCTCTCTTTCTGCATCAGCTGTCTGTGATTATAAGTAAGTCTCAAGGGAACACACACACACACACACACATACATGTCTTTATGCCTTTGTGTGGCCCACGTTCTGTGACTTCTTTGTGAGGGCCACCACTTCTACTATAGCTACAATGGTGCAAAACACAAATCTATCTATCATGGTTAACCGAAACCACAGGATTACAGAGATGGAAGCATGTGGTTTTTAATTTTGCCAATGTAAAGTGTATTTAACCCCTGTGTGGCGTTCACTTTTTGGACCGGAGGTGTGTGCTTCTCCCTGCGTGTGTACACAGGTTCAACCGGTGCGCTGGGTGCCTAGAGCTCTAGCCAGTTCCAAACCCCTCACCATGGAGCTCCATTCCTGGGTGATAATGAAGCATAGAGTCCCTGGGGCTTTGGTTCAGACTATTTACTATATGTAAATATAATGTATAGTCCACGTAGGTTCAGGTCAACAGTTTTTTTTCTTTTGTCAGTTTTCTTTTAGTACAAATCTAAAAAAGGATAAATTTGACCTGGACGCAACACAAGGGTTAAATTTGATTGTATTTACATCTATTAAAAAATGGATTATAAAAATGGTATATGGTATGCATCTCTGCATTTAAAACTGGGTAGTTTTGCAGACATCTAAACTTTAGGTTTTTTCAATCTTACATGTCACTTGCTAAGTTTGCTTAACACCAGTAACACTGTTTGTCAAAGTCCTCAAATCTTGATTTTAATTCACCCATTCCACTGATAGAAGCTTGATAAACAATTTAGCACACGAAATTAGTCACAACTGGCTTTATTTGCACAACATAAATAAAAAATCAACAACAATTATTCTTTAAATTTTTCCAGTTGCGACTGCCCAGTGCTGGTTCTGCTTCAAGTGCCTTGAGGCAGACCTCTTTACCAGGAAGTCTTTGCATAGTGATGCAGAACTCCACGGACTGTGCTGGCATTTGTTTTTGCTGAGTAACTGTAGGTCCACAGCTGAAATAGAAATGACAAATGTGATAGACATTCTCAATATTGATAAATCAAAAATTTATCTGGTGATCTAATTTGTAATGTGTTCTACTGTAATTAACACTACTCAAGTCTGAGAACTGAGCAGTACCTGTTTTCTCTGTCCT